TGGCAACGTTGGTTTATTAAATAATAATAATTACAGAACTAATTTGTTATATTAACAACAAATTTTAAAATCATGAAATATAAACATTTATTAATTTTCTAAGCAAGCGGTGTAATGGAAGGAAAATATAAATAAAAATTAGAAATCAAAATTATTTATATTAGGTGCTTTATATTACTATTTAAAAATTATATTTACTTTTACTGGCATTTACTTTAAAAAATAAATGAAATATTTCTTCGCAAAAAACTACATGTAAGAGAAATAGCATAAACAAAATACAAACATCGTTAACTTTTTTTTTAAATTGGGACGTGTAAAACTTTCATTTTAATTTTCTCACCCCATAGTTTGAGTTCGATAACCATTTACTTAACTACATTACTTAAATATGATTATTAAGTTCAACTAATTAATATTATTAAAACATCTAAAATACAAATATGTATTTTTAAAATTAATTGTAAGTTCATCTCATCTCTCTTAAAAATTGCTACCTCTCAAAATTTCCCATTAAAAAATAGCCATATACCATATAAAATTAAATAATTGAAAGATCGGACTACGGAAAACCACACAAATTTTCGGAAAACTTTTGACCACCTGCACATGCACACAATCGTCAATAAATAAAATTAAAAAATAACTACTATTTTAGTATTTTAACTATTTTAATAAACGCAAAAATAGCACAGTATTTATACGGCAAAGTTATAAAAATTTGGAAGAACTAATAATGCACTGACGCATACAAAAATCAAACGAATACTAAATTTCATTTATCAAAAACATTCGATAGTCGTGGCTCAACGATAACCATTTAGTCGCACGGCGAGGTTGTCACATATGCTTTAGTTTACAAATGAATGAATGATTTTATTCGAATAAAACCATTCGATAGTTGAAATCATTCATTCATTAACCATTCGATAGTCTAATTCATTCGATAGTTCCCATCGCTAGTTTAAAGTGATATTTTATCCGCCTAGTGGGACAATAGTTATTTTTTAAACAAGACGATAAAATGGTATTTTATCGTCGTGTATAAAACAATATTTTTTTTCCATAGCGAGTTACGTTTTAAAAAATATTCAGAAATTATTATTTCAAGGAATTTATTACGAGTAGAAAAAATATTGTGCTGAGTTGGCGTTGGTTTCTATGAAATTTGACAAATAAATAAAGCTGTCGCTTTAGTTGTCAGTTTTGTGTCAATATTTTTTAATTCCCTTTCGCGTCGATTGCTCAAAAAGAAATAAGTAAATTACCAATAGATATTCAGGCTGAGGCGACAAACGCCATATCCAAACTACTTCCATTTAAATCCCGAATAACTTATGAAAAGGAAAACAGAAATTTTCAAAAATGGAAGCAATAAAAAAACGTGCGAGAAGAAATAACGTTTTTAACCTATCCTCGTTGTTAAAGTATCATTTAATCTAGCCTTACGGTTAAAGTACTATTTTATCTATTATTTATTTTTGATAGACTTCACAAACTATTTTATATTTTAGAAAGTTTTGCATATAATTTTGAACACCCTGTACGGTTTAATATTACGATATCTATAGCAAAGTCAGTATAGACCAACTATAGTAAATACCTAGTATAGTTTTGATTTCAGGACATTTCTTGTAATTTTATTTTTTTTAATAAAGCTGAAAAAAAGATTTATTTATTTATATATTAGTATTTCTGAAACTATCAAAAAATATTTAATAATATCTTAGGATTATGCAAAGTGATCAGAAAGGAAGCAAAAAATGCAATAAGATACAGGGTGTTCCATTAAAAAAAATCATCTCGATTCACTCACATTTTTTTGAACCACCCTTTAGAAGTTAGACTGTTTTCCTGAAATAGATCCTAATACATACTTTAGGTTTGCACTTATCTAAAATTTCTAAGTTTCTTATTATAGAAGCTACAGATGCCCGACACATTTTTGCCGGACCTGTATAAAGTAGTAAAAAATCTTTAATATTCACCCAAACTTCGCAGGTGGTAAATGGGCTTCTTGAGCTTCTGCAAATATTGCAGCACGAACATGTCTATCATCTTGGTGCATTTTTCAAACTTTTGCAATTTCTTATTACACACAAGCTCGGAATTTTATTTTTGTCTAGTGTTGTTTGTAACAACACTAAAAGCATAGTTACCATAACAACAAACGCTATATTTAGTTCGGTTTTCAAAATATTATTGCTAATACTATGAACTGTTTTACTTCCTGTTTCATCGGAAATTACTGCACCTTCACTATTTCTTACTTTATGTGATAGAAAATCACATTCTGAATAGAATGATCTCGAGAATGATAGACAGCTTTGATATTTGTGTATTTGCTTAATATGTGTATGTGTTATTGCTTAAATAATAATGATAGTCAACTTTTAACATTTGTGTTTTTGCATAAAACAGCATTTTAAATTTCAATCTAGAGTGCTATAGATGTGATAAAATCACTAATTTTAAATCAAGGAGCCTTGGAAAAATAGATTTGATCGTCAAATCTTTTTCGTGACATTTCCTTGTGGTATAAAAGATGCACAAATGGCATTTTTATTCAAAACTCAAATTTTTCAAATGGAACGAGTGTGGCTCATATTTTATGTTTTAACATTTTTAAGAATAATTTGTTACTACATACCTGGTATCTCCGAGTCAAATAAAGTAAAAAATATTTAGAATGTTAAAAAAAGAGTATTTTAGTTTTCTTGAAAGATTTTCTTTCAATATTATAATACTGACCGAAATGTCAAAATCATATTTTTTTCAAATCTTTAGCTAAAAACTTCTGGTTCTGCTAAACAATATCACAACAATGCAATATTTCCAAGGATTATGATATTTTTTACATAATAGTATTAACTATGATAACCATTTACTCTTTAGTAATAAATACTTTAAATTTTCTTCAAATATGTGAAACGTGAATGTATACCGGGTGCGTCTCAAAAGTGGCTCATCCCTATAACTTTTTTATTTTTCCACTTAAAAAAATCGAGATTTGATTTTAGTATATGACATAAATTAGGATTGATTGACGTATTCAGTTGTTTCTGGCCACCCAACGGAAATAACTACAACTTTTGATTTTTAAATGGCGCCCTCCGTATATTTTTACTTTATTTGATAGAAAATAATATTCTCAATAGAATGACATATCATATGTCAACTTTTGACATTTTCGCATATGGTTTATTTCAAATTGTAACATAGTGTGTGGTACCAAATTCTTCGTAAAAAAATGCTTCTTCCAAATATGCTAATGAGCCACCCTTGTTCCCTTTAAAAAAATTGAGATATAATTATTTAAGATACGATCTGGGTATTTTTTAACCGGCAAAGACAAGACACGAAAAACATTAAACGATCAAATGTATTTTTCCAAAGCTCGTTGATTAAAAACTAGTATATCTATGCCATTCTAGATTGAAATTTAAAATACGACTTACCTTTAAGCGAAAATGTCAAAAGTTGACATATGATATGCCACTCTATTCAGAGTGTCATTTTCTATCGAATAAAGTAAAAATCAAAAGTTGTAGTCATTTCCGCTGAAACAGGAAGTTACCAAAAATAATTGAATACGTCAATCCGTCCTAATTTATTTCATATACTAACATACCAAATCTCGATTTTTTTTTATCTGAAAAAATAAAAAAGTTATAGGGGTGAACTACTTTTGAGACGCACCCGGTATAGTATTGTATACTTCAGAAAACATATTTTCAATATGTACCATTGCGATAAAAAAAAAGTAGTACAACAAAATATGATTTAATCTGCTGGTCTATAATAAAATATTTTCTTTCAAACTGATAACTCAGTGTCATCAGAATTCTTGTGTCAGTGTAATTTTTAAAAAATGTCTTTAACTTCAAAGCAAAAATCGATTATATTTACGCGATTAAGGGATGGGGTTCCCATAAGGGACATTGCAGATGCATTAGGAATAAACAAAAAAACAGTGTTGTTGGTTAAATCCGAAATTCGAGAACATGGAAGTATTGTGAGATATCCTTATAGACCAGGAGTTCTATCTGGGATTACTAATTCTTGTACTACTTTTTTTTTATCGCAATGATACTAGGTAGGTACATACTGATATGTCAAAATCATTCATGTCTTAATTTTTCTTTCATTATTTTCCAAGCATTATGTTAATTTTGGTACATAATAGAATTAACTATGATACACTTTTACTCTTAAGAAAAAAATCTTACTCTGACACTAAAACATTTTTAAATACGTGAATGTTAATATAAAAATATTTATGTTTTGTTTTTTGTCTTATTTTTTGAAAAGAAAAATGTAAAATCTCTACTAGCACTGGTCACTTGATTTCCGTGGTCTGTACTTTAATGCATACGACAGAGATAAACATATACGACCAGAGACCAGTTGACAAACAGAGAGACGAAATATAATGCGGCATACAGTGTTGCCGGTTCGTACGAGAAATAAAATAATAAACAAAGATAAAATATATCTAAGCTATTCAATAATGCTCGTTTCTGTTAGACAGTTGTTTAAGTATTTATTACAGCTGTAGTAAAGTAATGTAGAATAAAAAATTGATGCAAAATCCGGCAATACCGCACAGAAAAAATGTATCAACCTAACTTTTATCTCTTTTCAATACATTTGATTTTTCATTTAAGCTGTCTACGTCACTGTCTTACACGTTAAAATCCAGACCACGCAGTCTCGATGACCAGATCGGTATGTCAAACCAAATTCAAACTAACTTTTGTTCAGATTTCAAAAACAATTTATTCATAACGACATAAATTATTGACAAAAGCACCGAAAGAACAAAATACAGCAAAATAAACATCGTGTTAGTTTAAAGATAAGTTTTAAGATAATATATATGTATATTCCATTTTTAGCTAGGTAGAGTTGAGTGTAGGGGCGATGCTCGAGGCCGAGGAGATGCAATATATGTTATAGAAATTGGAAAATTAAGCTCTAACAGTTACTGGGTTACTCACGTGTCGTTCTTCTGCGGAATTGATGCCTGAAACAAGAAAAAAAGCGTCGTATTAGTCGAGAAATTAATAAAATTTATTTTATTAATATTAATATTTTTAATATTAATATTTTATTAATATTAATTTTTAACACTAGGTAAAGTTTACACTTGATAACGGGCAGTGATAAAATATGTCTGACAGAAACGTTGTATAAGTTAAAATAAATAAAAAATGTCTATACCTAAAAAAAGTAACCAAACCAAAGCAAATTTCGTTTTCTTATAAGGGTCCGGCAATAGTGCTTCGGGCATCTGTAGCTACTATAGAATAAAGTGCTATCCTAAATTCAGGAAAATATTTTAACTTCTATCGGGTGACTCAAAAAAGTGTGCGTTGATCGGGATGATTTTTCTAATGAAACACCCTGTATATTATTGCATTTTTGGATTCCTTTCATATCACTTTACATAATTCTAAAATATGAGTAAATATATTTTGATAATTTCAGAGATACGACTATTAATAAATAAATAAAAAATATATATATATATATTTCAAACTTTCGTAAAAAAATATTACAAATACAAGAACTGTCCTGAAAGCAAAACTATATTAGATATTCACTTTAGATGGTCTATACTTAACTTTGATATAAACATCGTAATCTTAAATCATACAGGGAGTTCAAAATTATATGCCAAATTTTCTAAAATAGAAAATAGTTTTTCTTCGTTTTTTTAAATGGAACACCCTGTATATTATTCCTTTGTTAGATGGAAAATTAAAAAATGATTTTTTTTGTATTGAAAGTATTTCAAAATTTTTAATGTTTTTTTCAGACACACGCAGTATTATTTCCTATGGCTCTTTTAACGGTAAAACACGAGAGAAAAATCATATGGTGGCTTTTATAAAAATTTACTGTGGAAAATTCGACTCTAAATACAAAAAATGTTAATTTTTTAATTCTCCATCTATTAAAAAAAAATAATGTACAGGGTGTTCCATTTAAAAAAACAAAGAAAAATTATTTTATATTTTAGAAAGTTTGGCGTAGAATTTTGAACATCCTGTATGATTTACGATTACCACATTCATAGCAAAGTAAGTAAAGACCATCTAAAGTAAATACTTATTATAGTTTTGATTTCAGGACAGTTCTTGTATTTTTAATAATTTTTTTAAGCAAGGCAGAAAAATATACATATTTTTTACTTATTTATTAAAATCTCTGAAATTATAGAAATTTATTTACTCATATCTTAGGAATATGTAAAGTGATCTGAACGGAAGCCAAAAATGCAATAATATACAGGATGTTGCATTTAAAAAAAATCATCCCGATCCAGTCACATTTTTTTGAGCCACCCTATAGAAGTTAAAATATTTTCCTGAAATACATTCTAGAACATACATTAACTTTGCACCTAAACAAAATTCGTATATTTTTTATTCTAGGAGCTACAGATGCCCGACTATTGCTGGACCCTGTATGTAAAAATAAAAAAGTTATAGTGTTGAACAACTTTTGAAAAACACCCAATATAATTTATATCTTCTAACGATGAAGGCTTTTTAAATAAATAAGTAATTACTTAATAATTCCAATTAAAATCCAGTGTACGGGTAACCTAATTTTGATGCAGTCATAAATCTTCGTTAACCAAAATTTCAACCCTTTTTCATCACCCCTCTACGTTTTCCCCCCGATTTCACCCCTTTTTCTTTGACCTCAAGCCGCGGCAATTCATAAATCACACCCTGCGAAAAATAAGTAAATTTTCACGAGCAGGAAAATTTTACAACCCCACCCCTAACGCTTTGGGAGTACAGTGGCGTGGAGGGTAGCGGTTTCACCCTTTTTCGATGGCAGGGATATCGTTTCATTTTCTGTTTAACGAACTTGCCAAAAGAGGGTACTAGAGGGTTGAGGATGAGGGGGTTGGAGTGGTGAACGAAAGAAGTGTAGAGGGGATGATTAATTTTAACAAGTCTGTTTTCTATGGTAATTTGGAATGTTCTCAGTCGAAATCGAAATATAAATTTGTGTTGAAAATCTTAACTCTCACAAATATTTGAGTTTAATAGAGTTAGTCATTGACATGTGATAAGCAAGTGCAAAACCAAGACCAAGATCAAGATCACCTTTGGTCTTGGTCTTGCTGATCTTTCATTTTTTTAAAAGCCAAGTCGAGCACAGCCGTACCATCCTTTTCTCGAAGATATTAGCGGCACTTTTTCACCACCCTGTAACTTCGTTGTGGATAAAGTAAGAATATTAATTTTCGCTACACATGAAGACATACTATAGCTGGTTAGATTACCAAAATATCTAGTAATTATACCTCATAGTTTATGAATTGTCGTTTGTCAAATTTCTTTAATTTCGACATTGACTCACTGACACATCATCAAAATTCTAAGGTACTTCTAGAAGTGTTACAAACTCCAAATTGAATTTCAGGTAGCTTTAAGCTTATAACCGAAGGAAAAAATAAAAAATCTCGAAATATCCTTATGGATTAAAAGTTAGCTCTCTACCCGCTACCGGTATTTGACTTTCCAGTCGAGAAAAATGTAGAAGACTGGAATTAATCGAAGCGGACTCTTCTGATTATATTTGTATATGAACGTACCAACAATAATTCAAGGAATGATTTTTTTCTAGTCACACTTATTTAACTTTCTCCAGAGGGTTTAGTTTCTCTTTAAGCTATTTAACAATTTTGTTAATCTTTATTTCTGTAATAATTATTATGACTTGGCAATTGCACAGCACCATAACTATAAAAGGATAATCTACCAGGAAAATAAATCACTAAATCACCACAATACACAAAAACACTTTACTTTTGCACTGGATGCGCGTTTCGCTAACCAAGATGCAAGACGTTTTATTTTGCTGTTGTAACACCAAAGGTTCTAACCCCTAACTGTAATAATCTACCATTTCGATTATTAAGTAAATCTAAACAGTGCCCTTTTTTAATTAGCAGCGAATATCTAACATATAATCTAAATAATATCTAAACAATTTATAACAAAATTGTTAAATAGGTGCTTAAAGAGCAGTGGCAGCTTGTAACCTGGCGGACTGGGTAGGCGACAAAATTTTAGTTGCGTCTATTTGCCCCCCCTAATTTACATAATACCCTAACCCAGTTAGTAAATATATGTTATCTCTAGGTTAAAACATAGCTCAAGAATATTTAGGACAAAACTAAAGCAAAAATAACAGCATTCAATGTAATGACATAATGATTGACATAATGTACAAGTATATTACTATGGAGTCACTATGGAGTACATCATAGAATTTTATTTTATTTTTCTTTATTTACGCTACAACTTAAGAACTGGTAGTATTGAGAGAGAGAATAATTATGTTTTATATATTAAATTGATGAGTCGGTTTCTTAACAAAGAAAAGTTATTTATTATTATATCAGTAAAATCATCAGATTGTTGAAGAGCTGTGAAAAGATCTTTTTAGATTGAAAGTAAGGCAAGTGACGATAAACGTTTATTTTTCATGGAATCTCTACTATAAATTTTAATGCATTTCAAACATGAAAAATGTGTCTCAACCCAAGTACTTGTAAATGGTGTAGTAACAAACAAAAGAAACAATTTGAAAGCCTCTGGAAATATATTTCCAGGATTATTCTCCTTAAATTATTTTATAATCGAAATTATCATATCTATTATTAATACCTGCAATTTATTCATTAATTTACGTTGGTCAATAATATTTTTTGTTTGTTAAATCACTATTAAATGCGTTGGAAGTGTATTAATATAACAAGTTTGTTAAATCAGATGTTAAATGCGTTGGAAAATTTTTATATGATTCTTTAAATTTCGGATCCGCAAGAGATAAATTAAAATAATTGAGACATACGAGTACCTATCTGCAAACCTTATTTCTAAATGTATAACAATGTTATCTAATATTTCATAAAATAAAATTCGCAAAGATAGTTGATTTAGCCGCTTTTATTAACATATCGAATTGAAATAGCATACTGAGACTTCTGTAATATTTGTTGTATCTGTCTTCTTGCACCCAATAAAATAACGCGCTTTTTTATTTCGGATTATTTTATTTCTGTGGCGTGTTCTGAAATACAACTTGTTATATCATTTTGAATAATTTCGGACAAGCCCGAAAAAATGTTTCCAATTTGCTTTTAACGTGTTTTTTTTAATTTTCATATAAAAGTTTTAACTGCCCTTAACGAAATGTGATATATCCCCTTATGAAATATCGGGAATATCCCCTTAACATCGAAGCCTACCGAGCCTCCACGACTTCATGCGAAGGCGACCGGAGATTTCGCCTTAATACGATACAACTCCGACTTACGTCGCGTCGCTACCGCACGATAAGTTAGACAGAGACAGAAGACTGCCGTAGGTCGTGCATCGACTCTGATAGTAGGCGATGCGGAAATCGCCGAACAAAGGTACTCCAACGGTCAAAATTATTTTGTTTTCTAACGCAGTGGGCACAGTCAGCCTACGCCAGCGATAGTGAATAATAATATTTTAAATATACAAGACCCCAAATATTAAAATAATATTGATTATTAAAACACACTTCCGTGTATTAACAGTATTTTTATGTATTGGCAACATTAATGGTAAATAATGTAATGTAATAAACCGTTTAAATTCTGCCAAAATTTTAGGATAGGCGCCGCCTACCTTGCCTACCCTGGCGAGCCGCCATTGTTAAAGAGAAACCAAATAAAATAAACTGACTTGGTTATACATGATGGGATTAGATATTATTGAATACTTTAGTTACTAAATGTATCATTTATTGTAATTTTTACATAATATGTGGATTAAAATGAGTGGCTCTCTAGTCAGACCCATTTAGGAAATAAAGGCAATTTTTATTATTATTGAAAACGTGCTTAGAAAACTTTTAAATAAAATCCTCGAAATCAGTTTACCAAAAATAATATTAAAAATCTACTCTATTTGTAAAGTTCGCCATGAATATTCAATTCACCAACTCTACGCCCATTTCCATCAC